TCTAAAATCAGGAACAAGACATGGGTGCCCACTTCCACCACTCCCATTCAACACGGTGTTAGGTGTCCTAGCCAATGCAAGTAGGCAAAACATTAAAAAAAATTTAAGTAAAAGGCATTTAAATCTGAAAAAAATGAAGTAAAAATGTCTGTTTGCTGATAATATGATCTTACATAGTCATGCACCACTTAAGATGGGGATACTTTCTGAGAAATGCATCTTTAGGCAATTTTGTCATTGTGTGAACATCACAGCATGTGCTTTCACAAACCAAAATGCTATAGCCTACTACCGCAACAATATATGCCATACTTCATGTGACTGACAGTGCAGTAGATTTGTTTACACCAGCATAACCACAAACTCGTGAGAAATATGATGTGCTTTGACATTATAATGGATATGACATAACTCAGTAATAGGAATTTTTCAGCTCCATTATAATATTATGAGACCAGCATAGTATATGCAGTCTGTCATTGACCAAAACATCATTATGCAGCACATGTTTGTATATAGAAAAATTTAAAGGCTCAGCCATAAGAAAAGATGAAATACTATCATTTGTTACAACATGGATGGACCTTGAGAATATCGTGCTAAGCAAGATAAGTCAGATGGAAAAAGTTAAGAACCATATGATTTCACTCATATGTGGGATATAAATCTGAAAGCAAGAAATGAACAAACAAGAAAATCGAACAAACAGAAATTCATAGACACAGACAACAGTATGATGGTTACCAGAGGGGGAGGGGTGGAGGGTAGTAAAGGGTAAAAGGGGACAAATCTGTGGTGACAGAAGATGATTTGACTTTGGGTGGTGAACATACAATGCAATATACAGATCATGAATCATAGCCATGTACACTTGAAACCTATACAATCTTATTAACCAATGTCACCCCAATAAATTTAGTTTAAAAAAAATTCCACCCAAAACTGTTTGAACTCATAAATAAATTCAATAAAGTTTCAGGATACAAAATTAATATACAAAAATCAGTTGTGTTTCTATATACTAATAATGAACTATCCAAAAAAAAAGAAAAAGAAAATACCATTTATAATACCATCACAAACAATTAAATGCTTAGGAATAAATTTAACTTCCTCTGTTAAATTTATTCCTACACTGAAAACTATAAGACTTTGATGAAAGAAATTAAAAAAGGACATAAATAAATGAAAAGATATTTTATGTTCATGGGTTGGAAGAATTAATATTGTTAAAAGGTCCATACTACCCAAAGCCATCTTTAGATTCAATGCAAATCCCTATCAAAATTCTAATAAAATTTTTCACAGAAATAGAAATAGCAATATATATAAATAATAAAAATAAAATAATAAACAAAGAAAACAATAAATAAAATGATAATAGAAAAAGAATAATAATAGAAAAAAAATTATATGGAATCACAAACAACTCTGAATAGCCAAAACAGTCTTGAGGAAAAAAAACAAAGATGGAAGCATCACACTTCTTGATTTCAAACTATATCACAAAATTATAATAATCAAAACAGCATGGTACTGGCATAAAAAAAGACATAGACGAATGGAACAGAATCAAGAGCCCAGAAATAAACCCACACATATATGTTCAATTAATATTTGACAAGTGAGCCAAGAATAGTCAATGGGGAAAGGACAGCCTCTTTAATAACTGGTGTCAGAAAATCTGTATATGCACATACAAAAGAATGAATTGAACCCCAAACCTACACCACTCATTAAATTAACTCGAAATGGATTAAGTACTTAAACCTATGACCTGAAATCATTAATTCTTAGAAGAAAGCACAGAAGAGAAGCTCTTTGACATCAGCCTTAGCAATGATTTTATATATATATATATATATATATGACATTGAAAGCACAAGCAACAGAAGCAAAAATCAACAAGTGCAACTACATCGAATTCAAAAATCCTCTGCACAGCCAAAGAAACAATCAAAAGAATGAAGGGCAACCTATGGAGTAGGAGAAAACCACTTACGTGATAAGAGCTTACTATTAAATATATATGAAGAACCCATACAACTCAATAGCAAAAAAATAAATAAAATCCAATTTTAAAAATGGGCAGAGGACTTGAACAGACATTTTTCTACATGGCCAACAAGTAAATGAAAAGGTGCTCAACATCACTAATATTAAAGAAATGCAAATTAGCCCTGGCCGGTTTGGCTCAGCAGTTAGAGCGTGGGCCTGCGGTCCAGAGAGACCAGGGTTCAGTTCCCGCTAAACCTCTGTTGCAGTTTGTCCCTGGCCCTGGTTGCGTCGTGTGGGTGGTAGCCACTCGATGTGTCCCTTTCACATCAATGTTTCTCCCCCTCTCTCTCTCCCTCCCACTCTATCTGAACAACAACAACAAAAAAGAAATGCAAATTAAAACCACAATAAAATGTTATCTCATACCTGTTAGAATGACTAATATCAAAAAGATAAGAGATATGTGTTGGGGAGGATACAAAGAAAAGGGAACCATGGAACACTATTAGTGGGAATAGAAAGTGGTGCAGCCACTATGAAAAACAATATGGTGTTCCCTCAAAAAATTAAAAATAGAACTATCATATAATCCAGCAGCCCTATATGTGGGTATATATCTAAAGGAAATGAAATAACTATCTTAAAGAGATATGTGCACTCACATATTCATTGTAGCATTATTCACAATAGCCAAGATATAGAAACAACCTAAGCATTCATCAACAGATGAAAGAATATAAAGAAGATGTGGTATTATATATAATGTAATATTATTCAGCCACAAACAAAGAAGGACACCCTGACATTTGCAACAACATGGATGAACCTTAGTATTATTCTAAGTCAGACAGAGGAAGACAAATACTGCATGAGCTCACTTATGTGTGAAATCTTAAATCATTAAACTCATAGAAACAGAATAGAATGGTGGTGGTCAGGGGCTCAGAGGTGGGGAAGATAGGGAAATGTTTGTTAAAAAGTACAACAGCCCTGGCCAGTTTGGCTCAGTGATTAGAGCATCAGCCCGCAGACCAGAGAGACCCAGGTTCGGTTTCCACTGGGGGCACATACCTCGGTTGCGGTTTTTCCCCGACCCCGGTTGGGATCATGTGGGTGGCAACTAGTCAATGTGTCTCTCTCACATCAATGTTTCCCTCTCTCTCTTTCTCCCTCTCTCTCTCTCCTGCTCTATCTGAAGATAAATGCAAAAATGTCCTCAGGTGAGAACAAAAAAAAAATTAACAACAAAAAATTTCAGGGAATCTGATGTACAGTGTAGTGACTATAGTTAATAGTACTGTGTTGTATACTTTGAAGTATCTATGGGAGTAGTGCTTTAATGTTCTCACCATAACACTAACAACAACTAAATGGTAAATATGTAAGGTGAAGGATGTGTTAACTAATCTTATTATGGTAAACATTTTGCAATATATAGGGTATCCCCAAAAAACTGTATACACTTTGAATAATTATAAAACCACTGTTTCTTAAAATACATTTCATTTTCAAAATGTAATAGAATCTATAGACACCCTGAATATAGTTTTTTGGGACATCCTGTATACCAGCATCACATCATTACATTATATACTGTTGCCCTGGCCGATTTGGCTCAGCCGTTAGAACATCAGCTCGAGAACCAGAGTCCAGGGTTTGATTGCAGCCTAAGGCATGTACCTTGGTTGCAGGTTCAATCTGTGGCCCCTGGTTGGGGTCATGTAGGAGGCAGCCAATTGATGTTTCTCTCTCACATCAATGTTTCTATGTCTCTCTCTTCCTCTCTCTAAAAAAAAAAACAATATTTTAAAATAAACATCAATGGACAAATATCCTCAGGTGAGAATTAAAAAACAACAACAACAACATTATGTTGTATGTTGATAAAGCTGTAGTTAAAAAAAAATAATAATTAGTTGAAAAAACTTTGAGTAGGCAAAAGGTAAAAAACAAAATTTATTTATGGTATAAGAAGAGCATAAAGGTATAAAAACATTTACATGGAAATGAGAAAGAGTGCTTGATAAGATTAGAGAGAACACAGTGAAAACTGGTACAAAGAAAGAATCTGTAAAATGACTGCTGATGGGGGTAAGCGGGAGGGAGGAAAAGGAGGAAGGCTGTTATTCAGAGAGAATCCTGGTGAGTTGACTGAGAGAGTTGAGCCAAATACATAATTGAAACCAGAACTGGCTGGGACAAAAGTAGAAGTTTAAAAAGTGAGATCATGAAGCCAATTTTGAATAGGAACAGTATTTATACATAGAGCTGAAATAGGTCCTGAGAGACTTCAGAGATCTCGTGCCTGTATTCTAAGCAAACCTCAGTTGCAACAGCCAGAAGGGTGTGGATCCTGAGAAAGAAGACACCTCCTTGAAGTGTTCCTGGTAGCTAACTGGGCTGAAATTCTAAAAAAAAAAAACAAAAAAAACACAGAACCTAGCAACCATGTCTATTTTTTTTTTCTTTTTTTTGATACTTTGTTCAGATAGAGTTGGGGGGGGAGAGAGAGAGAGAAACATCGACGTGAAAGGGACACATCGAGTGGTTGCCACCCTCACAACCCAACCAGGGCCGGGGACAAACTGCAACCGAGGTATGAGGTACATGCCCTTAGCGGGAACCGAACCCAGGTTTCTCTGGACCGCAGGCAGACACTCTAACCGCTGAGCCAAACTGGCCAGGGCACCATTTCTATACTGCATTTCATGGAGAAGCCTGCACTGAACTGCCTGCCTGCGTGATATTTCTGCCCTCTGAGCCAGCCCTTATAAAGGAGCTCCTGGAATTCTATTTCAACGAGTAGTACTAAGGCTTTTCTCATCCAATCAGAGCTGTGCAGCTATATCCCCATCAACATACTCACTGCCCAATCAGAGCAGTTCATTTCTGACCAATCAGTACAGTGCCTTTTGGACCAATCAAACTGCAAGGATTTGGAATCCTCATTTGCATCAAGATAGAGCAATCAGGGAAGGACGGGGACTTCTGCCTATATAAGCAAGCTCCCCCCTGACTCAAGAGAGCACACTTCCTCTTTCCGAGGAAGACTGTATTTCCTCGGGTAAGCTGAAACACCGAGGAGGTCTCACCGGAGCAGAGCTGAGCTGTCTAGTTGGAGAGGAGCCTGGCTCAAGGGCTGCCTCACAGCTGTGCTGTATAACAATTGAACTCTTTGACACTGAATGAAGTTTCCTTTTTCAGTGCACACCAAATTGGGGATTCCTGTTGGTGCTGAATTGGTACCGAGGACTATGGGTTGACAAGGGACCCTTGGAGCAACCAATCAGCGCATTCCAATTAGGTGGGAAATTCCTGTGTGCTGTATAACATGTTGAAGATTTCTTTTGACGTGCAACAATAGAAATTAAATTAAGGTGAGAGACAGCTATTCAAAGTCTTGCCATAGAAACATAAAGTCTGCTTGAGTAGGGATTTTGTTTAGATAATATGATTTGTATTTTATCATAAATACAAATGATATTTAATTTAAATATTCATAAAGGTGGTCCCCTCATGGACTAAGGGCTTACCAATTCTTTATAAACTGAACTAAAACTAAATATTCACTGTATTGGTAAATATTCCTTTCTTCTTATTCCCTTGACAAATGTTTGCCATTTTAACAGAGTCCATTACTCATTTTAAAGGATACTCTTGTTGTTGATTTCCTAAATATAATATTATTTAAAGATGAAAAGAATAACTAAATAAAAAGAATGGTTAAAATATAAAAATTTAACTGAATTTTAAGAATATAAAATGGAATAGTGCAAATATTATATATTGATTTCTAAAAATATTTTCCAAATGTATGCTTCTCAATTAGAGTTTCAGGGTCCTTTTCCCTATTTATAGTAACTGAAAAATTAGTACAATGAATTTAAGTAATTCCATATGAATTATGAAAATGACCACCATAATTAGGTCAGAAGGCCTGGTTTTATTATTTGCTAACCAAGAAATTAATTCTAACACCTCTTCCTATCTATATGACCTGTACAAGCCACTTAACCTCTCTGTTTTATCACCTTTAAAATAAAAGTAAGCCCAGCCAGTGTGTCTCAGTCAATTGAGCAATCTCCCATGGACTTAGAGGTCCCAGTTCAATTTCTGGTCAGGGCACATGCCCAGGTCGCAGGCTCGATCCCCAGTAGGAGGTATGCAGGAAGCAGTCGATTGATGTTCCTCTCTCTCTCTCTAAAAAAACAAACAAACAAACAAACAAACAAACATTTTTAAAAGTGTTTAATAATAAATAAAAATATCTTTTTAAGCTGCACACAGGATTTGGGGAAGCACAAGTGAAAGAACATAAACCACCTGTGAACTGTACCATAAACCACCAAGGGTGGGTGAACTCCAGGAAAAGCTACTCCAGAGCTCAGATCTCCAACTCTTCTTCTTGCTCAGCCCTCTTCTAATAATGCCAGGCCCCCTTCTTGTCTTTTGTTAAAGAAAAAATTTCAGGTTAGTAAACTTGAAGATCTAATTGGCTTTATTAAGCAATTCATGAATCAGCAACCAGAAGGGTGCACCAAGGAGTTGTACAAAATAGAAGGTTTCTGCCCTGGCCGGTTTGGCTCAGCGGTTAGAGCATCCACCTGCGGTCCGGGGAGACCCGGGTTCGGTTCCCGCTAAGGGCACGTACCTCGGTTGCAGTTTGTCCCCGACCCTGGTTGGTTGTGCGGGTGGCAGCCACTCGATGTGTCCCTTCACATCGATGTTTCCCTCTCTCTCTCTCTCCCTCCCACTCTATCTGTGTAAAAAATGGAAAAATGTTCTCGGGTGAGGAAAAAAAAAAATAGAAGGTTTCTTTAGGAAGAAGGATAGGGCAAGGGAACTAGGAACAAAAGGATTATTTTTAGACCAGGATATTTTTTTTATCTTTCAATTACATTTTACATTCAATAATATTTTCTTTTAGTTTCAGGTGTGCAACATAGAAGTTAGACAATCGTATGCTTTACAAAGTGGTCCCCGGATATATCCAGTACCCCCCTGGCACCATACATTGTTATTACAATAATATTAACTATATTCCCTATGCTGTACTTTACCTCTCCATGACTATTCTGTAACTATCAGTTTGTACTTCTTAATTCCTTCACCTTCACCCAGTCCCCCTGGCAACCATCAGTCTGTTATCTGTATCTATGAGTCTATTTCTGTTATTATGTTTGTTCATTGATATTGTTCTTTAGATTTCACATATAAGTGAAATCACGTGATATTTAGGACCTCATCCTTAGGGGGAAAAGTGAACAGAGAAGGGTTTTTATCATGATTTTTGCCTCTTTTTTCTATGGGGGGTGGAGAGGGCCCATGTAACAAATTACCTCATTGACATTGACCAGAAAATTCCAGCCTGGTTGACTAAGATTATATTTCTGGGAGAAGTTGAAATAGCAATTAGGTCAGGTATTAAATCTAGGTTTGTTATCATGGGCTTTAGCACGAGGGATGCTATTTGAGGCCTGTGGTTTTCATTCTAATGCTTCTGAGTTCTTATATCCTTCCTACTCCTACTCTCTCTGTGTGAAAAAATGGGGATTATATTATCTACATTTTGAATTGGTATAAAGACAACCTGGAGAGCCCCTGGTTTAGTGCTTAGCACACGATAGATTCAAGAAACCCAAGTAGAGATGGCGGCCAAAAGCCTCAGAGACCATGTAATTCACTGATCTCTTTCGCACATGAGGAAACTGGAATCCAGAGAAGTAAGGAAATTGCCCAGAGTTACTGTTAACTCCCCCACCTCCAAAAGGTTTAGGCTGTAATAAAGAATAAAAAGAATTTATTTGTACAAAGAAGGGATTGCAATCCAGGGCACAGATTCGGGTAACAACCTAAATTATGCTCCAAAGGGACCAAAAAAAGCAGGGTTTATAAAAGGCAAAGTTGTAGGAGTTGTTCTCATTTAGGTTCTTGTGTAAATGAAGGATGTTAGCTAGGTCCTTTTGAATTGGTTAGGTCTATTATGTAAGTGGAAGATGCTGGTTTTCTAAACGCATTTGTTCCTTTCAAAATGAAGAATGCAGATAATTTGCTCACTGTGATGAGGAAGGAGTAAAGTTTACATATGTCCATGTAGCAATCAAACAAGTCTGTTACTTGGCCTTGAGCTGAATTTAGCAACAGAAACAATAGTTCCAAGAAGTGGGACAGGACACATGCACTGGCTTCACTTCCTCAGTGGCCTCCTGGTTTTAGCAATCCTTTTTCCATTTTATTTTCTCTGTTACCATTACACATTGGATCTAGATTCAATCCCAGGTCTCTGGACTCTTAGAGCTCCTTCTACAGCAGCAAGCCCCTGCAGACTGTGGCAGGGTCAAAACAGATGCATGACAAGGGAGCCATCTTCAAGCCAAATTTTCTGGGAGAATCTTCCAGTAAATCTATTATTAGAATAAATTGGGATAGGGAAAGAAGGACATAAAATAATCTTCTTTTCCAATGTGTTCAGTGAAAGATTCAAGCCCCCTCCCACAAAATATTCTAATTAAGGTTTTATTTATTTATTTTTTTTGTTACATATCTTCTAGTACACTCACACAATGGAATACTATCCTGTCATTAAAAAGATTGAGGTAGAGCCCTGGCCGGTTAGGCTCAGTGGTTAAAGCATCAGCCCATGGACCGGAGAGTCCAGGGTTCGGTACCCGCTAAGGGCACGTACCTTGGTTGGGGTTTGTCCCGGCCCCAGCTAGGGTTGTGTGGGTGGCGACCACTTGATATGTCTCTCTCACATCGATGTTTCTCTCTCTCTCTTCCTCCCTCTCTCCCTCCCACTCTATCTGAAGATACATGCAAAAATGTCCTCGGGTGAGGATAAAAAAAAAAGAGTGAGGTAGATCAGTGAGCACTAGCACAGAAAGGTATGTCTGCTAGATTTGGGGAAGAAAGAAAATAACCATATGGTGTCCCATTCTTGTTTTATGTGTATATAAACATGTAATTAGTCTGGAAGGACATCTTCCAGACCATTAGCAGGGTTTATCCTTCCACATTATAAAGACCTTTTCCTTTTTACATTATGTCTGTATTGTTAAATTCTCAGGAGTACCTGTGACTTTAATTACTAGGAAAAAATAAAGCTATTTTTTAAAAATGTAATAGTATTGAAACAATTAATGATTAAATAGCATAAAAGTGCAATAATCCATGTATACAGGAAGCCAGAGCAGAAATGGAAAAAGGATAAAATGAAAGCCCAATGAAAGATTAAGAGCTTAGACAAAAATAATGGAAATATTCATCCCTCCTCTTCTTAAAGATGATTACTATCTAATAGCATTTTCTTTATATGAGCACAAAAACATTAACAAATGAAGGCACATTTAATACTTTTGGTGGAACATCTTTTCTCTAAATCTCTGACTTTAACAAAGCAAAGCAGACTGCCCTGGCCGGTTTGGTTCAGTTATTAGAGCGACGGCCCGTGGACCAAAGGGTCACGGATTCAAATCTGGTCAAGGGCACATACCTCAGTTTCAGGATGGTCCCTGGCCCTGTGGAGTCATGTGGAGGCAGCCAATTGGTGTGTCTCTGTCACATTGATATTTCTCTCTCTCTCTCTCTCTCTCTCTCTCTCTCTCTCTCTCTCTTCCACTCTGTCTGAAAATACATGGAGGAATGTCCTCAGATGAAGATTAAAAAAAAAAAAAAAAAAGCAAAGCAGACTCTCTTGGAAACAGATATGAAAACTCTTCCTAGCCCTATTCCAAAAGGGGAATAAATCCAAATTATGCTCCACAGCACATATACAATCTCCTGCAGAGTTTACATTTACTGCTACTCTATGTCTCAGTGCTAAGGATGCAAAGGGTTCACAACAGGCTCCCCAAAATGTGCCACTTTGGCATGTGAACTGTTTTGAACTGAAGGCGATGAAGACCCTGCAGTCTCATCAGGAACTTTTACTTCTCCCTTAAAGAATTTAAATTAGGGCCTTTGCCCATAATAAAGGTTATCACCAGAAATAACCTTTTAAACCTATCGATATGGCAGGGCAAACTACTAATTACTAAACATCTTCTCTTCCTTTTTTTTTAAATCCTCAACTGAAGGTATTTTTCCATTGATTTTCAGACAGAGTGGGAGGGAGAGATAGAAAGAGAGAGAGAAACATTGATGTGAGAGAGACACATTGACTGGTTGCCTCCAACAAGACCCCAACAAGATCCAGAGACCAAACCGCAACCGAGGTACATGCCCTTGACTGGAATCGAACCCACGACTCTGGTCTGCAGGCCAACACTCTAACCACTGAGCCAAACCAGCCAGGGCAACATTTTCTCTTCTTAGCGTCCTGCAAATGACCTTTCTCCCCTCTGAAGCCCCAAGACACCTTCCCTAATCCTTTTCTCAG